AGCCACAAGAAATGGAGCCCCCATACAACTCTGCACCGTCACCCACCCATCCCCTGTTCTGGAAACCGCTGCTGTGTCCTCACTTAAGCCATCAGCACAACGGCCCTGACTTCCCTGAGTGCTCATGCTCTCATGTAACCCAGGCTTCCCCCTAGGGCCTCTCAGCTGTACATGTTTATTTTCCCGAAACCCCTGTACATCTGAACCTGGACTGTGTGCTCTCCTGACCCCTTACAACAACCTCCAGACCATTTGCCCCCTCCCTAAGAGCCCCCAAGTTTAACTCATTTTCTCAGAATAGTAATCCACTGCTCCCCTGTTACTGTCATCTTCAAAGCCCAAGTCAATCCCCCTTTTTGGTGATTTCCGCTCCTGACTCACTGTCATGCTCTCCAATATCACCGTTGCAGGAATTCTTAGTGACTCCAGAATCGTGGAATATCCTTCCAACCCCCTGCTCTCTATCTTAAAATGTACCTGGGATTTGTTTCAATTAGGTGTGACAAGGTGACAGATGCAGGGACAATTGCCTTGAAAGAAGAGTGTAGTACTTCTCCTTCCCAAGAGGAGGGAGCACTTGGGGAAGTTCCGGGTTGGTCAGGAGGCAGAATTTGTTAGGGCGGCGCGTGGCCCAGAGCCTTGATTGTGTCCTCTGTGCGAAGGAATGGGTGAAGCAGGGTAGGCAAATTTGAGCAAGCTTAGGATCAAATACATCACTCCAGTGGTCTCTGGGCTGTAAGGGTGTTCTCTAGTCGTCCAGTATCTGGCCCTACAATGATTTAGGCTAGGGGAATATTGGCTTGGTGTCTGAGTTTCATAGAGGAGGTGTTTGGGGGTATGGCCTCTAGATTGGCTGGTTTGCATGTGAAAGGTGTGTTCCCAGGCAAGTTGATACCTCTAGGAAGTAGCTAGCCCTGGGAGGGGCAGCCTCTCCCCAGCCAGCGAGGCTCCCAAGATGTCAAAGCATTGTGAGATACAGAAAAATAACATGATTGATTCAGTTCTCTTGTTCCCATGTCTCCTCTCCTCCAAGAGCCCCCTCAGCTGACTTAAGCAGCTCTCTCAATGGCTTCCTTAGTTTGTCTGCAAAGATGTCTGGCAACAATTTCTGCCATCCCTTTATATTTACACTGTTCCTCCCATCAGAATGTTGGGCTCCTTCCCCTCCTGTAGAATCTGGGCTGTCCCCTTGCTTTAACTAGCTGGACTGCAATGAAACAGATGCCATAGAAGTTGCTGGCTCTAAGGAGGCCTCACAGCTTGTTCGTATTCCCTTGGCGTCCTGAACTACCATTTCAAAGTATCTGGTTACCCTACTGGAGAAATCAGAGAGGGAGAGAGAGGGAGAGAATGCCTGCACGGGGGAGTGAAAACATCCCAGACTGCCTGCATCAGTCACAACCAATGACTGGTTGTGTGAGTGACCCAAACAATCCTGATTTATTACTTATTCTGAAAATTAGGCTGCATTCAGCCAGGGGGCTTTTCCACTCTGTGTGGGGTCTGCTGAGGACAGAAAGTCCAAGATCTGTTTTTCATTTACATGTCTGATGCCTCAACTGAGGCTGGTCGGGTGTCTCTTCCATGAGGCTTCTCCACATGGCTGCTTTGGGGTTCTGCACAGCACAGTGGCCTCCAGAGAGTGAGACTGATTACCTGGCAGCAAGTCCCCTAGAGGGGGGAAGGTGAAACTGCCAGTCCTCAGGCCTGGGCTCAGAGGTCCCAGAACTTTCTACACCATGAAGTGCATCAAAACGGTCACAGGACTGGTGTGGGGGAAGCACCACACCCACAGAGGGAAGGGATTGATTGTGACCCTTTGAGACAAACTGCCACACCTGCAACTGCAGAAGAAGCCACCAGCTGAGCCCAAGCTACACCACGGGTCACAGGAGAATAAAGTGGTTTTAACCTGCTGAATTTGGGGGTGGTTTGTGATGCAGCAACAGATGCCTGGGACAGAAGTCGGCACTTGGGAGTGAGATATTGCTGCAGTAAAATTCTAAAATCTGACACTGACTTTGAAGCAGGCAGCAGGTGGACACTGGCAGTGAGAACTCAGCTGAGGGAGGCCATGTTCAGAATTGGCAGGAAAATGGTGAGCCCGTGGCCTGTGGTAACATGGAAGACACAAAATGTGTCTAATGATCTGATTTTCCCAGCAGAAAGCTTCGAGGCTGATTGGGTTTGCTCAGTTAGCCTAACCGAGATCAAGGAGAGAACGTACCAAAGAAGTAGCTGTTCCATACTCCGGCAGCAGGTAGATGAGGTATTTCCAAGCCAGGTCTTGCTACATTGGAAAATCAAAACTTTTTCTCATTCTCGGCCTTTACAGGCGGCAAATAGTTCTAAAGGTGAGAAATGGCATCATGGTAAAAACTAAGTCCAGAGTACCTCCTGCAAAATATGAGGGTTAAAATAAATTCAAGGGCACGGTTGTATGATCCCTTGTGAAGATATTTGAGGATTTCCGGTGGGGGGGGGGGGAGTCCTCATAGACCCTGCCAGCCACACAAAGGGCTTCTAAGAATCTTGAGGTCATCGTTCCACAGCACCTGACTCAGCCCGCAGGAGAGAACAGCCTTCTTAAAGACATTTGCAGTATAGCTTTTGTTTAGTAAAGTGAGATACAATTTTGATATATAGAAATCCAGTTGTGTGTGTGGGTGTGTGTGGGTGGGTGGGTGTTTAAGGGTTGAAATAACAGAGTTTGAAATAAAAGGTGTCTGGGCCCCTGCTTTCTACAGGCAGGAAGCAGACTAACGAAGACACTCAGCTG